CACACTTTCAAACTTTATAGTAACAAGTTATTTACTAGTGACTTTACAGTTTAAGAAATGGCTGTTATGGATAGTTGTTAGATGACTGAATAATATGTTAAAACTGCCAAGAGTCAGATGAATGGTTAGCTATGTTAACTGAAAAATGCAATAGGAATAAGACAACTTAATCTGTGCCAGCTTTCATTTGTGTAAAACAGTGGGACCCAACCTTTTTGGCCGACATGTCTCTAGGTAAGCTCTACCCTCCTCCCAAGTGCCATGCCACTCCCCTTCCCCCACCTAGCCTGTTGTGCTGCTTTGTTTCCTGCCCTATCTGTCCCTGTGTTTGCTTCTCCCTCTCTGATATACCACATGCCACACACACAAGCTGCCTCATGCCATTTATGGCACTTGTGCTGCAGGGTGGCCACCATCGGATAGAATACACCATCTTAGGGAAAAATATGAGCGTATGTGTTTAACTATGAAAAGTATGAATTATTCTTATGTTTGAGAAGTGAGGACTATGATTACAGGATTTACACAGTCACCTTTGGGTTTAAAAGTAGGAACGGTGTCAGTCTTTTATAAAAAGTTTGATAGATTTCTAATGAATTGGACAAAGTAGAATAACTGCTAATAGAGTTTGTGAGAAGTTACCCAGTGCACAAGCACTTTTTCCTTTTTGCTCTAATCTGTGGAAACACTTGAGACTGTCTACTGATCTATGTTTACATTTTCCCAGCCCCAAATTTTGAAACTGTGAAACACAAAGATAAGCTGGAATTTTAAATAAGGAAAAAATATCTAATATAGCTGCCCTTATGTCCGTTCTCAGGTAAAATTTATGAGTAATATAGCACAAATGTATTTGACACTTGATATTTGTGGACAATCTCCCAGTTGTAAGGGTAGATATATATTGAGCGGGATAAATTAATCTATATAGTATGAAATAAATGTGCATGTCAGCATCTCCTGGCTAATCAGTGATGTCAACCTTGGGTGCTCTGTGGTGACAAACCAGGCTGAATTTTTGAACCCCTCAAATCCCAAGACATGGCATTTGAAATTAGCAGAGATGTACCTATATCTCCATTTATATTTCACTTCATCACTTTTTTTTTAATGTGCAACTTTTGTAAGAGGCACTTTTGCCAAAAATAATACCAGTGCCTCCTGCACATTGCAGGCTCAAACAAGGATTAGTATGTCCTGTTGACAGCAAGTTTATAATATTGTCCAGTCTATATAGTTTACAATAGAACCATGCGGAAGTGTAAAGTATATGCAAGAATCATATTCAGTATTTAAATAAAACTGATATTTCAAATTCAGAATTAGTCTCAGAATGTTCAAATGATGCATTTTCTTCTCTTTTCTTCTTTATTCAGTTCAAAAAGGAGTTTCTTTTAAAGAACTTTTAATTCTATATTTTGTAAACTAAGCATAAATGTTGCAGTATATGTGCTAACCATGGCAGTTTTTACAAACACTTTCATTCTATTCTGGTTTTTACAATACAATTGATTTTACAAAACACATTTTCTATTTTTATGTACTGACATATGCAATAAATTGATACATTAAAAATGCTACTAATGTCTTGTTCCTATTTGTTTGACCTGTCTTCAGTATGAGTGTAGTCTGATTGTGTGGTAACTGCTGTGTGCTTAACAGGCAGAGTATTGGAAATGATTCACAGAATAAGTCAATGTACCTAAGATAGAGGCTGCCCACATTAGATGCCAGATTCTTGAAAAGCTTCTGTTACTTCAGAGGAAGATAGTAAATCAATTACTAAATTATTGACATGGATTCCTGAACCTCATAACTTGGCCTCCCTCTCTGAAAGTAACAGTATAGAGTCTAGAGTTGGCCATCCATTGCACCTTCTTACATTTGCAAAAAGATTCAGTGCAGGCATCTTTAACCCCCAGCACACATGCCAGACCATGGGACGAGGCCAGTTTGCTCAGCATGCCATAGCCAACCCACCCTGGGCAGCTGCTGCCAGCCATAGAGCTTAGGCTGCTCCCAGTCGGACAGCTGGGAGGCCCCAAGCCCTGCTGCAAGCAGACTGGGCTCCATGGCTGACAGCAGCTGCCCAGAGCCCTGGCCAGCTGTGGCAGGAAAACGGGAGGTTGCAAACAGCTGCACCAGACTCCAGGGCTCTTGGCTGGGTTCTGGGGCAGTGCAGCTGCACACAAACATCATGGCAAACAGTAGGGAAGGGCTGGGGTTACACTGCTCCAGGCCCCTCCCTCACCATCAACCCAGAGCCACACATACACCCACCACCAGCCTGGAGCTGGTGCTGGAGCCTGATGCAACTGTTTGCAGCCTCCCAGCTGTCTGCCACAGGCAGCCTGGGCT